AAGGTAATTTTACTTATACAAATTCATTAATAAATTTTTAATAATATTATAACTTTTGTTTTCTTTTTTTTTGCAAAAATTACCGAACAGCTCTACGATTTAATCAGAAGGATTTAAAACTATATAATCATTATGAAGCTCAAATTGAAACACTTTCTACTCTTAGCCAGAAAATATTTCAAGAACTCTTGAATGATAATTTAGTAATGGAACGATTGCAACTACCATTGTCTTCAGATAATGAAAATATTAAAGTGGAAAATACAAATATCAATTGCTTGCAGCTCGAGAGAGCACGATTGATCGAATGATTGTTATATCAAAATGGCGTAGAGGATCTTCTGATAACTTGGTCAAAAAATATTCATCAAATGGCGTTAGATTCCGTTCTATTAAAAAAAAATGCCCAATGGTTTGTGACATGGTCAATAAATTTGGAAAGCCGATTAAATAATTACAAATGTGCAGGTGGCTGGTTTAATAACTTTTAATTGTTGGCTCTCGATGATATTAAAGTAGAGATACAGCGATTGGTAGCATATATGCTACTTGAAAAAACTATAAAAATTACATTTCAACAAGTGCAGGGCAGGCAATATCACGATCAGCTCTTTCCGAATTGCACAGAATCATGGACTATATCTGAAAAAATTATTGATTTGGAACCAGCTAAAGCATCAAAATTTCAGTATATTATAGGTTGAACTATCTATAAACTAACAAAAAGTGACACATCAATATTGGCGTATAAAGAATTTGCAAAGATTAAATCGTGTCTAGATGCTCTCAGCTCTGAACATGTAGAATATATATATAGCACTTATTCAAAAACAACAACAGTTATTCCAGAGAACGATTTTATCCAATTCATGTATTATTTAGAGTCTTTTATTCTTTAGCTATTTGAAAAACATATCGAATATGGACCTGATATTTTAATTTATATTAATAATAATCTTGTAAATAATCAACCCTTGAAAAAACAGTTTAATAACCTTTTGCAAGTAGCATATGAACTTCATTATAAATCACTTCCAGAATTCACAAATGACTATATTCAATTATCAAAGGAGGCTGAGGATTATCTATTGGTACGCTTGATCAAAACTTATATGCGAAGCAGACAACGATCTTGGCGACGATTTAAAGAATACATCTCAGAAAAAGGTTTATCTAGTTTGCGAGAGAATGTCAAAGCAATGAATGCAGATTTAAAAAGTGATGCAAAAAAAGATGAGAAATCAAAAATAAAGCTTGTTACGTTTAAGAAAGGGATGCTACCAGAGGATCTTGATTTGGCACTTTGTCAGCTTAAGATTTGGACTCGAGATAACAGAGCTAAAAGTGTATTCGAGAAGGTATTCATGATATCTGATCTTAAGATTCTTGTTCAGGCATTTCAAAGCGAGCCAGTAAAGATGAAAGGGAAAAAAAAAACAGATCTCATAGATTTGCTGTTTAATCATTTGCAAAATAGCTCAGAATTCAATGAAGAGATAAGAAAGAAAGATCAACTTTTCACTTGAAACAACAAAATTCACTTATTAGCAAGTAAATTTGATTTAATTATTTTTACATATGATTTAAATTTATATAATGGTAATGACAATGAAATTAATTTTGATTAATTTATGTTTAGGTA